AGGAGGGAGGGAGGGAGGACAACCATTAGATCACTTTCTAGAGAAGAAAAATATAATCCAAAGAAAGTAAAATGTAGTTAAATTAGGTAGTTATTTTGCATTTTTATAATTGCTTTTAAGCCTCCTTGAATTACTTTTAAAAAATATGAAATCCATACCCAACAACTTTAGTACTTTCTGTGCACCTTCACCCTAAGAATGCTGCACATTCTTATATGTTATATTTAAGAATTTTAGCTTAATTGTTGTAATAAATTATAATCTTATGATTATTCCTCAATTCCTCTTTTTAATACATGATTATTAAATGTGTTTATCATATTTGACACCCTCCTGGTTCTTATATTGACTATTTATTAAATCACAGAGATCCTAAAGAAGGAGGAAATCCTTGGTAGAAAAATGTTAATAATTTACTAGTTGCAAACTGTACTTTTACCTCTGAACACCAGGTAGGTAAAAAACATTACTCATGTTTTTTAATCTAAGAATGTCTTACATTTTTATGGTTTGTTCTTTGGGCTTATTTATGATGGTTTGTGACAAAAAAACAACCTTTGACATTATGATTTATATTCTACCACCAAAGGAAATACAGAAAGAGATAAGAAACCCAAATTAAGTCATGGCACAAAAAATAAATTTAAAAATCCAGTGATGGTAACTTATAATTTTATTTATTTTTTTCTGATTCATAATTTTAAATTAAAACAAAAAATTAGTATAAATACATGGCTTGTGGACAATGAAAATATGGACATTTTTAAAACCAAAACTACAAAATTTAGCATTTAACAAATAAGTAATTTTCAGAAGCTTTGTGCCCTGTATTTGTGACATTTTGAAATATGCCCTGTTTTAATCATACTTGGTGTGTGCTTTTGTTAGGGAAAACCAAACAATATTTTTTGGTGTGGTAAAGTTAGAAAGATATCTAATATTTTTCTATTTTTTATTAATTTCATTTATAACAAAATTGACCTCAACATCTGTTTTCATTTTTAGTGATTCTTTTAAATTCCTTGATAGTTGAGTGCCAATTCTAAAACTTGACTGGATTTCAAAGAAAGACAATTACTTAGAAACAAAGAAATTGCAAGGAAAAACTCCAGCCTTTGAGCTTTGCCAATAAAAGCACTGTTCTTGATACAGGCCAAAGGTTAGTTAGTTCAGTAGAATAGGCAGTCAATTGGGTGTGCCCAGCCCAACTGACTATATTGCACAGCTATACACAATCTGGGTAAATCCAAGTAATGTCCAGTTCAAGAACTCATAATTAAAGGAGTTAATATGAGGGAGGACCCCCCATAATGGAATTTATTTATAAACATTGTATATTTATTCTTACATGTTTAAACTTCAATCACCTTCAAAGTACTCTCCATTTGATGCAATACTCCTATCAAGACATTTTTAAAGCTGCTCAAAATAGCTTTTGAACTTGCCAGTTTTGAAGACTTTTAGTGTTTTTGCCATTTTTTTCTTACCTTTTCCACATAAGCAAAATGTTTCCCTTTCTCGATGTTTTTTTCATGGGAGGCAGGGGGGGCATTGCTCGGGGTGAGATCAGGTGAGCAAGGAGGGTTGGGGCAGAGGGGCCATGTTGTTTTTGGTCAAAAACTGCTGAACACACAGAGGGTGAGGGCAGGTGTGCTTGTAAATCACCCATCATGAGATGGGCAAACTCATTGAAAGAGTCTTCAAAAAAAATTCAATGAAGCCGAATATAGCCTCTCACAACAATGCCAACTGGTGCACTGATACAGGTGGGTTCACAGAACACTCACCTAGCAGAGGAAGCCTGAACTACAAGGGGCCTACCCTCCAGAAGATAATTCCGGGTTTTTTGGATCCCTCTAGAATGACCACAAAATTAATTGATTCTAACTAAGCTACCAAATACATAACTGTCTCATTAATATAAACACATAATTATACAGAACACTGTCTTTGATTTTGTATGGAACTTGAAAGCAAAGCAAATATTGAAAATGAGCTTGCAGGTCAATATTCTAGACTTAATTTCACATGAGAAGCACAAAACACCAAAGCCTGGATGTGGAAATCATTTATGAATTATTTTCTGGCTTCAAAAAGAATATAAAAAGAATGAGTTTCACACACAAACACACCCTAAATGTTTATGGTTTTTAAATTTTGCTTTGCCATATCCCCCTACATTTTGCAGAAGTATTTTCTTTCTCTGTTCCCAAATTTGTTTCTGATTACCTTATAATTTGGTAATTTGGAAAAAATGCATATATTTGATAATTTTTTCATTCTCCACATGCAGATTTCCATGAAAAATAAGTTAAAATGGAGTCAAAAAGGTATAGTATATTAATTTTCTTCTAAGCTTATCAATTTTCTTACTTAGCTGATCTACCTCTGGTTAACTTAATCTTGTATTTCTAGAACCAAAGGTCCCAGCTTGTTTTCAGAATTAGTACATCAAAATCCTACCCAGTGAACATGCTTTATTTCCAAGGGATATTCAGAAATTATTTACCTGCTCACATACTAATGACACTGCTTAAAATAAGTTGGACATAGTCTCTATATATAAAGACCAGTTATTAGATATTCACAGAGAAAACCAAGCTCCTGGAATCTGAATATTTAAAGGAAAAAAAAAGGAACATTCCATTCTATTATGCTTCCTCATTTTTATCTTTCACAATAATGAGTTTACATTAATGGCTCCAAATCTGTTAGGAAATTACCCAATGCCACAATTTTTTATTCAAAAAAGAGAATCAAATATATATAAAGAATGAAAAACAATTTCTAAATATTCTGGTAGGCAAAGTTGTTACAAATAAAATAGAATATATCAGTAAATTCTAAGGAGGAAGAATTCAGTTTCCTAAAGTCAGTTGAACAGTCTGGGACACGAATACTCCATGTTACATGTATGTAACATGTAAATTTTAAGCTGCAGAGTATTACCAGCAAGTTAGTATGTCTGCTCTGGAGTATTAACTATACTGTGATAACTTCTACTTAAACCTCAATAATCAGTATGTTTATTCTTTTAGAAACCCAGAAATTTACTGCAAAAATTGAATCAAGGTTTTCAGCAACGTAATTTCTTTAAAAAGAAAAAGTCAAATAAAAGCAAAAGTCACTGTAAAACTCTCCTAGATTAAATTAATTTACAAATCAATTCCTATTCATAAAGGGAAACCATAAAATGGAAAAAGTCTACTCAAATGATAGCTTTTAAAATTATTGTAAAATTGAATATAGAAAAGAGCAGAGAAGCCACAGGAAAAAGAATGACAGAATGAAGTGAAACAGGAGAGGTACAATGTGTGTGGGTTGGTGTTAAAATTTGCAAGTGAATGCTATAAACAGAATAAAACAATGGATATTCAACACTGTGTTTGACACAATGACACCAAGAAAGAACTATTATTAACCATATGGTTGGTTTGGTCCTAACACAGTCTTTGAAGGAAGGACACTATTCTACCTAAAAATAGCTTTGTAGTGACAGTCAAACATTTTTCGGAGAGGAGCCATTTTTTCACTTGTTACCCCAAGATTCCTCCTGCTGCACCTAAAATATTCTGGAAGCCTTTGAGGCAGCTTTGAAGAAACTTGGACCTTTACTGACCAGTTCAAAAATCACTGTGGTAGCAAATACATATCTCAGAGTTAACAGATACTAATACAAATTCTGGTGGTGGGGGGGAAGAATCTTGAAAAATACCTGGAATACAGATATGTCTGATTTCTTATTGTTGGACAATATCAGGGCTCAGTCCTTGCTTCCTTCTGTGTATTCACTCTTGCTCCCTGAATGAACTTTACAAACCACCTCTGAGCTTCTGCCTCTACTTTTATGTCCAGTAGCTCTGATCAAACACTTAAGAGTCAACCTTGACCCATCTCTCTTCACATTCATATTCAATACGGTAGGAAGTTCTATTGGCTTTAGCTTCCAAACACATCTAAAACTGACCATTTCCCTCCACTTTCAAGGCACATTCCCTGCTAGACTGCCATCTTCTCTTGCTTGGAAGCCTGCGACAACCTCATAAAAAACAGGTCCTTTTGCCCTTGATAAGTATTCTCGAAACATCACTTGGAGTGGTCCTTACATGTGGTGATATGGTTCTCTCTTCTAATCCAAAGCATCCAGTCATTCCTTTGGCACAGGAGGAGAAGCCAAAGTTCTTTAAATGACTTTAAAGGTTGTGATGGAACTGTGATGTGCTGCCCAGATCCCCTGCAGAATGAGTTATTACCTCACTCCTGAGAGATGGCCTGCGGCTGTCAGTATCTTCAGGATTTGCGTCCGCTGAAACAAGTCACCTCACCCAAGGTCACAGAGCCTTCTCAGGGTAGCCAGTGAGTGAATAACATGGAGTTATCAAGATGTCTCAACCCAACCTGGGACACCTCCACAAAGCCACTCTAGGTCCAGTACAGCATATGAGGATCCGCTTAGGCTGTGGCTGGGCTTTTATTGAAGCTTTATCTCTACCTTTGTCCTACTTGCTTCTGCTCCTTTGCACAGGTCTTGATTCCAACAGCAATCTCTAACAAATGACCAGCACACCAAATTTTACCTCAGAGTCTGCTTCCAAAGAACCCAGACTGCAACACAACTCTTACAGCCTCCCTGGCTCACCCTGCTCCAAGCATACTGACTTTGAGGATTGATATGTTTCTGCCTTACTGTCCTTGCATGGCTGATCCTTCTGCCTGGAACACACTTCTCCAGATAACTGTACTGCTACTTTTCTCTTCAACTTCCAGCTTTGCTTAAATGTCACCTTTTAAACAGGCCTATTTTGACCATCCAGTAGAGGCAAAAATAGAGAAAATGATTTAAGGAGGACCAGTTGTCATCATTTCCCACTGCATTTAATTACTTTTCAGGGTATTTAAATGCTTTCAGAACGACTTTACTCGCTTAAAAAAGAGTGAAAATTATTGTTTTAAATACACAAAAGCAATATAATGGTAAAGAACACAGGCTCTGGACTCACACAAGCCAGGACCTGAGTGCCCCATCACTGCTACTCTGCAGCTGCATAACCTGGACAAATGACTTCACATTCTCAGCTTCAGTTTCTTTGTCTGTGAAATAGGGATAATATTACTTATATTTCTTAGAAGGGTTGTGAGGATTAAATGATTATGCATGCAACAGGCTGTGAAAACTCTAAAGGACCTCATAAATAATAGGAATTATTAAGAGATAGCCCTATGAACTGCACATACCAAAAACTCCACTGGGAACATATTCGCATCCTGGCTTACAGATCAGGGTTCTAGGACATAATTTTTTAGCTCTACTCAACCCTGAGTGGTCTGAGTGCTCCCAGCAAAGCTGGAAAGGCTGGGTGTAGGAGAACAAGTATCACCCTAAGGCACAGTGGTAGCCTAACAAACAGTACTGGGGACATTGAAAAGTAGTTACCAACAATACACTCTTGTTACATGGCACAAAATTCTAATTATTTGCTCTCCTTGCACTGAATTTAATTACTTAAGATTTATTCTAATCTCTTAAGGCCCATGTGAAAAAAATCACATAGGATTTCAAATATCTAGATTTATATATGTTCATCAGAAAAGCTTTAAACTTTGAAAACAGCCTTTGGTTATTTGAGATTAGAACCTAACATTTTAAAGTGTATTTTCAACTCAAAGTTTTTATATTTATTTCTGTTTCTGTGATAAAACAAATAATAACTATATTTGGCTTAAAAATAAAACAGTAACTCCTACAAAATCCCAACTGTTTTTATGTTTGCTTCCATTCATTTTTCATTTACTAGAGTGAAATGTCCTTGCCTATAACCTCAAATCCACAAGCTTGATTGATTTCAGAGGTTGTGCTGGAGGCCCACCCTGCCAAGCAGAGATGATAGACTGCCTATAAGCTTGCACTAAAGAAAACCACAATAATCTAACATTTACCATTATATTATATATCTGCCCTTTCAGATTTATTGCAGATCCCTCTATAGTCCATTTCTTTATTTCTAAGGAGAGAATCAAATAAGCTTATGTTCAAAACAATAAGAATGTTCATTTTAGAGATGTCATTATTAAAAACCACTATTCTACAGTTACACATTAAAAATAACAATAATTGTACTATTTATTAAAATTACAATAATAATAAATAGTGATGTGGAGGGAGGAATAAGGAAAGCAGACATTGTCCTAACCAATAACCTCATAGTATGGTTGTGCCATCCTCCAGATCCATATACTCTATCTTGGAAAACCCCTAACTGGAGTGTAGCAAAAGTGTGTGTGTGTGTGTGTGTGTGTGTGTGTGTGTGTGTGTGTGTGTTCCCCTTGGGAAAGTCAATGCTACATCAGATTATCAAGGGTCTTCTTTAAAGTTGTAATCTACTAAAAATTATCTTTGCTTTCCAAATCTGCCTTTGAGAATATCATGCATTCCTTCAATTTTTTTTCATAGCTTTATACAACTTAATATTCAAGCTAGGGAAACTAGAAATCTCCTCTAGGTCAAACAACTCCTTAAATCTATCTACAAATTTATTTTCTTTCTCTAACCTGAATTTCATGACCCAGAGGATGATGGTAGTTTCTTTGCACAGATGGTCAAAGGTAATGAGGAGTTCTTCCAGGAAAGGATGAGCATAGACAACATCAGCTGCCAGAATGTAGTCGAAATTGTTGGAAGACCTCGGGAAGTTCTTCTCTAACTCTATACCCCAGGAGAGTTCTTTAACCTGAGGCAAATGCTTACATTTCATTTTGGTGTTTCGGGAAATATTATATTGCAAGTTTCCAAGCAATTCAGGTAAATCTGTGGCGGTCACATGTGCACCTGTGAAACAAAGGGATGTAGGAAAAGAACCATCAAGGGATGAAATAAACAATCAGGTTTCCAGCCAATATGCATCTTACAATTTTGCATAACTGCTAGTCTCAAGGAAAAACCAGTCAATACACACAGGAGAGAAATCACTTTCAAAAGGGATGCTAGGGAAGCTTTATGCCTTCCCTTAAACAAAAAATTAGATTCCCAATACTTTTGTACTGTATTGCATTTTTCTGCTCTCCTGTTTTTTTATTTGTTTTGTTGCTGTTGCTGTTGTTATTTTCTATTTTTCCACTACTTGCTAGGAGAAAAATAACCAAGAGAAAGGGAAATGCTAAATATTTCGTACCCTCATGGGAAAAATCAGAAGTCATTGTTGAAAGATGGTCAGGTCCTTCCCTAAAAGAACCCTCAGCTTCACTCCTGTGAAACTTAACAAGAATATACAACATGGGCATCTTATCATTGACTAAGAAGCACTCAAGTGTGAGAAGTGGAGGAAGGAAAGAAGACTTTCTGATGGCATTACATTGAAAGTTTCATGATACCCATGTTTATGCCCAAGTTTTCAGCTTGATCCAATTTTAAGTGAGTCTTCCCATCAAAAAAAGTGTTTAAAACCTAGCCACAGCATGCATACAGTGCTCATGTAGCCAAAGATCACATATCTTTGCAAATAAATCTGAAAGGGCATTCTGTGAACAGAATGCTCAAATGAAGAAGATATAAACTATTATCAAGTTAAAAATGAATAGTGGTGGTTATTTTCAGGAGGAAATTGTAAGGGGCAAAATTGTAGAAAACAATAACCAATAAAGTGTGGTCCTTAAAGTAAACTCTGAGCAGGAGCAGAGCCTGAAAATAATTTATAAATAAATCTAGGTTTGGTCAATTCAATACATTAGACAAAAACAGATTCAGGTAAGCAATGGGAAAGCAGAACTGGAAGAGAAGTCTAGTTCATCCAAGACCAATTTAGAATGCATTTCTTAATCACAATGGCAAGTTTCTCAGGCCATCAATTGTATTTTGTGGGAAATGTTAAAATGGGAGGGGAAATAGGCACATCATTTGTTGAATCTTCAACTCCAATGTGGGTGGGTCTATCATTTTCAATAAATCTTTTTATAATTCCAAGGTAAGGAATACATCACTACTTAAAGTGAATATAAAATATCTAACTATTAATACCTTCATGTCTAGAGGGATGAACACCACCACTTTTGGAATACTGACTAAAGAAAGCTTTCACCTTTTGATATTTGTGTCCAGATTTACAAGTGTATTGAAAGGATGATTCTTTTTAATGAAACAAGTGACTTTCCAGACACAAATCCTTCTCCTGGATAGGAAATCCTTCAGATATAAATTCAATAGTCCTTTAGGCTCTATCCATACAAAATTGAATGGTAACTGGGGAAAAAATACAAGACTAAGAAATTAAAATATATATATTTGGGGAGGACTTCATGGGACCTATATTTTCCCAGTATTCAGAAAGCTGTAAATTACTGAATCTTGAATTCTTCTCCAGATTTTAGAGTGGTAGGTGTGCACTTCTGAAGATGAAGGAAATTGAGACAGCTTTGGGTAGCACACATCAGAAAAAACAGCTAAATTAAGGCAATGAAATCTATTACAACAACAACAAAAAGATTGAGCTGGAATAGGCTGAGGCATACATAGAGACCATCACACACTTAGTTGAATAAGAAGGCTCTGGTGAGAGAATGAGAAATTGCAAAAGAAAAATGAAAATGAACTGAGAAAATAAATTCAAGGGGAAATACACAAATTTAGAAGCAGACATGATTTTTATGTGAGTTCTAATACTCTTCTATTCTAACAGGTACTTTTCCATAAAAGCATAGCACTTCAAAGCCCAAAAAGAATATACAGCTAAATGGAATATTAAAATGAGCTAAAACTTAAATAAAGAACATCAGAGTCAGCAGCAGTAGATTCTATGTATACCTAGTATTTCATGCATCTCCTCTAGCAGTCAGGATACTTAAGTGCACCTCCAAATTAGAACACATTTGTGACTTAGCACTCCACAAGCAGAATTAATACTTCACAGAAAATTCTGAAGGAAACCAGTGAGATGAATTAAAAATTAGTAGTTTCTTGATGAATCCCATTCAATTAAGGAGTTAAAAATAGGACCAGGTCATAATGCACTGGACAGTAAAAGCAAATAACAATATGTGATCATTAAATTATTCAAATCCCATTCAATCATAAATACTTACCAAGTAAACTTGCCACAATGGAGACTAGCCCTGTCCCAGCTCCAATTTCAATCACATTTTTGTCAGTCATATTATACTGTTTTACATTTGTTTCCAAAAAATAGCATAGAACAAGGGCCTATGAAAGTTTTTTTTAAAAAGAAAGAAGGAAAGAAAGAAAGAAAAATAGTGTTTGGCCATTAATAATAGAATGTACAATTAAACTTTATTAGATGACTACCCTACTAATTCTATGACATGTATGTGTGTGAATTTGTGTATATACATATATATCACTACAGAAAATTATCAACAGAAGTACATCATCCAATGGCTCAACATTTAGGCTAGAAAAAGTCTTTGGGAATTGCGGAGAGAAAAGAGAAAACAAAAAATATGGACTTCAGTTGCTTTCTTTGATTATCTTTTTTTTTAATTGTTCAAATACATTTGTCTCCATTTTCCCACCACCAGTTTCCCCTGCCCCGCTCACCTCCACCTCCCACCCTCAATCCTTCCCCACTTTGGCTTTGTCCATGGGTCCTTTATACATGTTCCTTGACTTGATCCTTTCCCTTTAAAGAAAGGAATTTCTAATAATAGTCATTTCAAAAAAGTGTGTGGAATCAAAGCAGATAGTGGTGATGGGTCTGCACCCTTCATGAGACAATTAGTAAAGGGAAATATTTTAGCATATTCTCTACATTGACACTGGTAAACATTTCATTATAATTGTTTAAGTCAAATGGAGTCAGTTAAATGGAAATGAAATATTCACTATTCCAAACTCTTAGGGTTGCAAAAACAACCCTCAAGGTGTAAACAACATTTTATAAAAATTAATCCTACAAGTCAGAAGAAGAATTAACTGGTAAAAGCATTTTCCCAACTTCATGATATCTAAATTTTACTGTTTGAAGTCAAAAATTAGAGCTATAGAACCTATTTTCTTTTTCCAAATAGTAAAAAATAATGAACAAAACTGACTGAAAATTGAAATGTAGCAAATTTTGTATGAAGTTATACCGATGGCCAAACAACAGCACCATAACAATCCATGGCCTCAGTAATTCGAATCTCATGACCAACAAAATGAAATCCCTCCCAGGAAGTGGCTGTTACTAGAGTTGGCACAAAACATCTTGCCATGATCTCTGCAACCACTTTCTTATCATCACAGTCTTCTCTGTCTCCTGAAAGGAAAAGAAAAAGGCAATTGTTGTGGCTATGTTAATAAAACCATGAAAAATGGAGAACCTGATGGAAATATAATGTTTCTACTTATTCTAAGTTACTTTTGCATATTCATTGACTTTAGGTGCAATGTACTGGCAAGGTAAATTATTTGAAAATGACTCATAATATAAGCTGACATTTCATACATCAGGATGACATCTCCCCAATTTTCACTAACATTGAAATCACCACTGTCCATTTCTGCATTTTTATGTGAAACAAATGTTAATATTGTTTTTTAAGGTAATATATTTTAAGGCAGTCCAATATGTTCATCTAGAACAAAAGAAATATTGATAATGGAGAAGAGCCCAACTATTTATATTGGCTGCATAATGTAATTTCAGTTATTTCAGTAACATATACCCTTTAAGACCTGCCTTTATTCATATAAAAAATATTTACCACCACCCAACAATGTAATCTTGTATTATTATTACTTATTTTTATATCATTATTTTGGGGCAACCCTTGGCACCATAGCATCCACAACATTCCATAAGGTTAATAAGCAACATTAACTATTAGTTACCTAGCACTTTCTTCACATGCTAGACCATGTTAAATACATTGTGTATATTTCATGTAACTTTTGCACAAACCTTAGAAGATATGCATTATTATTTGCACTTTTACAGATAACAAAACTAGGACTCAAAGAGCTTTATTATTTGACCCAGTTCACAAAACTTATAAATGAAGGAGCCAAAAAGAAGCTCCGTTTCTGGTTGTTCCAAAACCCCCACTCTACACTATTAAAAACATATAATTTAAAAATAACCTTCCCTGGACAGTGTAACTCAGTTTGTTGGAGTGTCATCCCATAAACTGAAAGGTTGGAGATTCTATGCCCAGTCAGGGCACATGCCTATGTTGCAGGTTGGGTCCCCAGTCTGGGCCAGTATGAGATGCAACCAATTATTGTTTCTCTCTCACATCTCTCTCTCTCTCTCTCTCTCTCTCTCTCTCTCTCTCTCTCTCTCTGAGAACAATGAAGAAAAA